TGAACTTCACCATCTTATGGACACTGCAGCAAGGCTGCTCTCCTGACATTCACATCTCTAACCAGGTTCAACAGAGCGCACCCCCTCACCAGCTCCTCGGTCACTCGTGTCAAGAAGGTAACACCAATGCCCTCCAGGAATCTCCTGGACTGCTTGTGCCCTGCTGTGCTGCCCCTCTAGCAGGTACTGGAGTGGTTCAAGTGCCCCCTAACAACCAGGGCCTGCAAACATAGGTTTCTTCCTGTTACCTGAAGAAGTTAGTCTTCTTCCTGATAAGGCAGTCTGCAGCAGACACTCACCGCAATGTCACCTATGTTAGTCTGCCCTCTAACCCTAATCCATAAACTCTCAGCTGCCTCCTCCTTTCTCCCAAGGCACAACACCACACCCTCCTGCTGCTCTCATGTAATGGGTAACCCCCACCTCAGCTGTTAACACATAGCTGTGCTGATTTCCCAGAAAAAAAATGAGAGCACTTTCACCATCATGTTGTTTTGTACGCACTTTTTGGTGTGCACATGCCTGAAGCAGGGCCTCTTCAGCCCTGTTGGTTGATTACGAAGTCTCTCATCCACATCACCCTGCATTCTTCGTTTGCCAACTCAGCCTACAACCACCATGCCTAGCTTAAATCCTCCTCATGAGGTTGGTCAGCCTGTTCACAAAACCACTTTTGCCTCACTTGGCCTGGTGGATCCCATCTCTTCCTTAGATAGGGATCGATAGTCATAAAAGCCAAATCCCTCATCACCACAAGCTGTGCAACAAGTTGGTGACCTGCACAATCCACCCACTCCTCCTCAAGCTGTTCTTCCTCACCAGCAGGACTGATGAGAAAGCCTCCATCTCAAATATGAGGGAGTCTCCCACTACCATTACTCGCCAATTCCTCCTGGTGCTACTGCATTGTACAGGCTCAGATGATTTGTTGGACAGAGCTTCCTGCTTCTCATCTGCTACCAGAGCACTGAACGTATTCTGTAGATGTAGATCTGCAGGCAGAGAAGGAGAGTTCCTCCTTTTACAAGAAGTCACATGTTTCCAGCCTTTGCCATCACAGAACAAGCAGAGACTCAGCCTGCCCTTCCCTGAGTACAGTTGGGGGTTCAGGCTCATGCCTGGGTCCTGGAGAAGATTCCATTTCCTTTTTGTCATCTCTCATGCTGCGCACTCTGCTGACCTCCTCCTGCATCTCCTTTATGTGGCAACACAAATCCTCAACCAAGCACACATCTCCTGCAGGCAAGGACAAAGTTTCCCCCTGCCCCAGTCTCAGCAAGAGGCACCAGGCACTACCTTCAGCTCGAGACCTGAAGAGCCGCACCCTCCCTGGGAGCCTGGTCTGAGTCCAGGCCTTTGATGTTTTGGGGTAGTTGCTCCAGCTGGTGCTAGGAAGCGTGCCCTGTGCCAATAGGCAAGAACTGTTTGCTGAAATTTTAAAAACTTAAAGCCTCTGTACAGCAGGAAATCTGATTAGAAACATGCAACAAGAGCTTCACGAAATGAAAAACTGAATTTTGGTAAGCAGAGTTTCATACATAATCAGAAAGAATTGATTTTCAATTCTGAATGAACTAATTACTGGGCAGAATGAAGATGCATCAAAAATGAAGTTCTTCCTTGCTTTCAAAGAATGAGCTACATACTAACTGCAAGCGGAGCCAAAAAAAGTACCAAACAGCTAAGTCTATGGATCAACTGTGAACAATTCTAACAATGAGTTTTAAATGCAAAGAGTCCAGGTAAGGAAAAAGGTTACATACCCAAGAAACTCAAAGATGTTTTACTTTATGATTACCATTTTAAGCAGTTGCTTTCTGCCATTCTAAATTCCAGTCTTAACTCAAAAGCAAATTAATCTAGATAAATGTCACTTCAAACACCATAAAGCCAAATATATTAATGCAGAATACATCCACATCAGTAAAAGAGGCTGAATTTAGCACAGATGCTCTACCAAGTGCCAAATGAATATGTCTTAACCAATAAGACACAGAAAAGCAAACTAAAATTAGAATTGAAGATTTACATCAAGCCTTTTCAAGTTCATTCACTTTACAGCAGAGGCCTACCTCAAATGCCAAGATACACAACGCTTATATATTATAAAGGTGCTCAATCATCTTCACAACTTCAAAAAGAGACAAGTGTTAAAGACACTAAGAATTTTACTGAAGAACAGCAAGATGGATAATACTAATCAAAACAACAGTGGGGAGAGAATAGAGAACAGATGATTAAAGAAAAACCCCACAAGCTGAATTACACAAGGAAAAACTATACAATCCATAGCAAGCAGTCTTTGTTAAGGTTTCTGAGCTAGTACAAGGTAGACTTTGCCTGTATTATGAGAAAAAGGGAAGTTTGTAGTATGTTTAGAGCTGCAGAAGTGCATTTCCTTAAGATATCACATATCTGATATTTTAACCCCAGGACAACCTACTTACACAAGGATGTTGGATTTTATGTGTAAAAGTCTTATTGCATAGCTCACTTCCAGGACACCAGACAAAAGCAGAAGTCGGACTAAATAGAATTCTGCTTTCTAACTAAATACAATTATGCTTTTGAAAGTGTATCTATTCTTCTTAAATCAAAAAAGAAATGAACCACTTGAACAGAATCTGGTTTGACATTCCTAAAGAGATAAATAAAGATTAAAGTAAGAACAGGATCTCCTTAGAAACACGTCAAAAGGGAATACTTCCAGACAGTCAATTCACAAATTTTAACTCTCATAGCACTACTACAATGGTTAATGTCTACAAATACATGTCGACATTTCGAGTAACTAACAGTTTTAATAAGAAGTGGGCAACCAAGATGACTTAGAAAAGCCCTAAGGCTGAAAAAACAAGTTCATCTTTGAACATCTTAATTTTCTTAAACAGATATTCTAATGAGTCTCTACTTGTTTCAAGAAAAACTGGTGAGTTGATGTACATCTCACATTCTGGTCACAAGACAAAACGCCAATATAAACAACCGATTGCACTCTTGCTTTTCTTTGGAATGTATATTAAAAAACAAAACCCCATGCAGATTCCTGGGTTAAGGACCTAAATAGTTGTGATCTTTGTGTCATGCTATTCCTAATGCGTCAGGGAAGATATATAAACCGCATCTCCTAAATGGAACAGCATGAAAGCATTCTGCCTGTGGCCTGTCAGCTCTGCGATACTGGAGCTTTTCCAAAAAAAGCTCAAGATTACTGACCTCGCAGCATATTGTTGATTTAGACAGATTACAGCAGCAATAGTCCTTAAAAATCATCTGTCTATTAGACAAGAGCATTATTTCACATGATCTAACTTTGGTTTTGCAATAAACTATCATTTTCTGTAACATGGAGCTGAAAAATATTATTAAAAAAATTAAACAAATGGGAGCATAAAAACTGGGTAGTATCTGACAACACCTACAGTTAGGACAGAGTTTACTTCTACAGGAGTTAGGATACAGTTGACTTCCACTAACATTTCTTACTAGCACTGTAGTACAACATACCTATTTGTCAATCTGTTACAATCTATCAAATGGACTTCGCATGAACTCCTCTGAATAGCAACTGAGGAAAAAATTAACTTGTCTACACTAGTTTAACAATTTTATAGCAACATGGGGACCCTCAAAGCCAGTCACTACAGAGAGGCTATCAGCCTCTGAAGTTTCACTTGGTACCAACCAATTTTTTTACTCCGGGCTGCAAGATACTACTACCGCTAGCTGTCTATACAGAAGTTAAGCTTTCTACAGACACAATTAAAATACAAATAATCAGATTTTTGTGCGTTAAATAAAGCAGGAGAGTTATAATAATACCTAGTACCAAAAATTTACCATCTACCTTTTTATCTCAACATCCCAGTATAGCCCTGTGAAGAAAATTATCATTATTGTGCACAACACTGAATTAGTTAAGCTTTGCTTCCTGAATTGAGAGAAATTAAGAGAGAGAAGTTAAAAAAAAAAAATCACAAAAAAAATTTACGATCCTTAGTCTCACCTAGGCCTCCGGGGCCAGCCAACAGAAACTCTTGTCTGCCTATCCGTTTCACAATTGGCCGTTTCTCATCACTGCAATAAGGAAACAGATCCTGGGAGACGCCAGTATTATAATTCAAAATGATATACTGTGTAGTAAGTGCAAGACATAAGTAATAACCATCTACAGCCACAGCACAGGGTTGCTCTGGAGTAAACACCTCCTTCACTATCTGGACTCTGTCTTCAAACACCATGAACATTTGAATGGTCCGCCGCTTGACCGAGATAATGCAGACTTCAACACAGAAAGGGTCCCCACTCACAGGGTTTTCATTTAATGCAAATGTCACGGCTCCCTTGATTCTAGCACCGGTGGGGACAGGTTCCAAGTTCATCATGTTAACTAGTGTTATTGTGTTGTCACAAAGCACAAGAAGCCTGGTGAGGGCAGAGGCTGCTTTCAACTCACTCACAGGCTTCTTCAAGCCCAGGTATTTATGCAGTTGCTTGGTGGCAGCAAAAGTTATTTTTCCAGCCGTTGAGATCTTTTCATCCAACAGAAAGTGATAGATAAAGCAGTCATTGGTTCCAATATAGAGGTTCTTTCCGCAACACTCAATGCATTCGATGTTGATGTAATTTTTGTCTCCCATTAACATCTCCCGCTCAACAGCAGAAACGAGCTTGAAAGCTTTAACACTCATTGTGTCTTCTGGGTGATCTGATCAAAGAGGAAAAAAAAAAAAAAAAAAAAAAAAAAAAAAAAAAAAAAAAAAAAAAAAACCAGTATTTACCTCCACACATATAATCAAATATCAGAGGTAGTGATTTAACATTCACTAATACAAAAACTTCATTGTTGCATTCTTTTAATAGTCTATACTCTATTTCCAGCCTGATTACACAAGCCAGAATGAGCACATTAATAACCACAGAAATGAATTGAATTGTATGCTTCCACTTCAAGTCTATTCCGAAGTAGATTCACAACAGCACTCAGCTATTTTGAAGTGATGCTTTCTCCACAAGTAACCAGCATATTACTGGCTCTCTCAGATACTTGGCACTGCAAGTGGTTCCTGCCAGTACTTAGTGATTCACAAACCTGTCACGTACAGGTTTATATCACCTGCACATAAAAAGATATAAGCTTTGGCTCCCAGATTTCTAGAGAAGCCACAAGGCACTTCGTGCTACAAGTTAACATCTCGTGTTGCTTTACACTCAATTTGGGCCTACTAGTACATAGTCTCTTAGAAAAATATCATAGACATATTCCATTTTAACACATACTTTACGTTCCTTACTCTCCAGCAATCAGAAACACATAACTTTCAAGCCACTTAAATAATAATTTACACAAGGTATCATCCAACTCATAATAAAAGTTGTTGGTTTGTAGGGTTTTTTTAAGCATCTGCAGAGTGGCTGTCTTATTCAGTGCTACTTACACATTCTCTGTATTGGACTATATGCACCAGCAATTATAAAGCACAGTCACACAGCAAATTTGGAAGCATGGTCCATAAAGCATTCATTAAGCTCAAGATACAATATCAGGGAAATTAAAAGAGTTTCTGCTATCTACTATCACAGCCATTCCAAAAGTCTGCCTTTAAGTGCTAAGCAGCACTTCTAATATTCATTCTACAAACTATACCTACCATTTTGCAATCAAGCACTGTCAAGGGACAGATACAATTTATGAGGCAATTATTAGTGTTTTAAAAACAGTCCGTGTAATTTTACTGTACTCCAGACTTATGTTATTTTCATAAGAAACCGGCAGGGAGCTGTGCTCGACACTCCAAAGAAGAGCAGATGAGAAATTGCTGACCTTGTTTAATCACCTTTTAATTTGTCATGACTGGTCTGTAACCATCACTTAGCCAACACAGGGGAAGACACAACACTGAACATCTTGAATGGATTTAAGAAATAACATATACAGTTACTTCTAGTCCACATACACATGGAGACAAGAAACATCAAATGAAATTTCTGTGGACCAACAGAGAAACCAACCTCAACAAGATGTTCTTGTAAACAATCCAGAAACTAAACATAATCAAAATGAATTTAGTTTCAAATTATTACATCCAAAAAAACCCTTTGCTTTTGCAAGAGAACACTAAAAATCATGGCAAAAAATTTCCAAAACTGAGTGAAAAAGAGTAAGGTACACAACTCACAAGTAACCACTAAATAAAATTAGATCAAACTAAGAATATAGCCAGAAGCAAATCACGTTACAGAGAAATAGCAGTGATCTTTTTTGCCAAGAACTTCCTACTTTTTTTCAGAAGTTAAAAAGATTTTAGTTTGGGCTTCCATGACATTTTCAAATTGCATCCTCACCTGGGGTGTAAATTAGCGTTCTGACCTTCAACAAAAAAAACCCAAAGCCGGGAAGTACTAGAGAAATAGCCTAAGGTAAAATGATAATGCAAGTCTCTGGCAACACAGTCATGTTATCCTCCAACGTTATCAAAAGAAACACGGCACATTAATTTAAAGAGGGCTGCCCAAAGGTTGACTGGCAAAAAACTCTCAACCATTTTTAAGAGCCTGTGTGTAGCCAGAAGTGATAAACTCTTGCCTGGAGAGGTTAGGCAGCTTTCGTACCTGAAGCTGTCAACAACTTAACGTCCTGTAGCCCAAGGTAAAAATGTTAATGTATGCCAATGGGGGAACTGCAGATTTTTGCTCTTGACCAAGATGTGCTAAAAAGCTCCAAAAAACTTACTAAATGAAAGTACATGAAAAGTATAAAAGAAATCAAAATAGATACACAATCCCTGACCAGAAAGAACAAAAAATAACACAGTACTACATAAGTCTGGTAGCAAAGAAATTAAAACATTCATGCTAGAAAAAAGCTGTGAAAAAAGCTTTTAAGAACAACCAATGTCAACACACATAATCTGCATGTGATTTTTTTTTTTTACATTTATTTTTTTCTCGTTTAAAAGAGCTTAGAGGCCTACGCGCACTGCAAAAAAACAGGTTCTGCAGAACGTGCTGTTCCCTTAAAGTGCAAGAGGCCCCCCCGGAGTTACAACTGGAAGTCAGTACGCTACTTCTTAGATGTTCAGAACTCCGGAAAACAAGATAATGGGGATGTTTGCTGTCAAAAAAACAACCAATTGGCAAGCAAATTACCAGTCCGCTACACGTTACCTCCTGAAGTGCCCCAACAACCCCGCAGGGGCTCACTCGGGCACGAAGTGGCAGGCAGCTCTGCCCCGCTGTCGGTACGCGACCCCTTGCTTCGCACTTAGGTTTTGCTCGCCGCCGCCCTGCAGACCAGCACCCGACCCACCTCACCCCCGCACCGCCCGCTCACGTAGACACACTGCTACGCCCTGGGCAACCAACTGCCCGCCAGCCCTAACCGCCCTGCCCGTGCGATTCCACAGACCCGAGCTGCCGGCCCGCCCCAGCCCCCGGCAGGACGGGGATGCGCTTCGGCCCGGACGCGCCCGCACCCCGCCCGGCGCGGCGGCAGAAGCGGCGCCGTTCACTTCACCCCCGGCCCCTCGCAGGCCCGCAGCCGGA